ATTTGATCCGTCATCTAACATTTTTGCTTAAAATTGACAGTGAAAAGAAACACAACAGGAGGATTCTAATGGATACTTGTGGATTGGTTGTATGAACCCAATATAGAAGATCAAAAATATGTAGAACACAATGACTGCAGCTGAGAAAGAGTATTTAGTTTGTTGGATTTTTTTCAATTTTGGTAAATTTTTGTTCACCCCTCGTTTCAATAGCCTGTTTTCGACCAAGAATTTAGTTGTGTCAACTCAATGGAGAGTGTAGAGTATACTGCACCTGAAGCCTCTTAATATTGTTGATGGTGCTGGTGTTTCCATTACCATTACTTTTGGCAGGACCCTTCTCCATCTCCCTTCTGTACGTTTGTCGTAAACTAGATTAAATTGAAATGAGAGTTAAACTTCAATTAATTACATTTAATCTCATAATTAACAGAAGATGAAGAACAGAATTTGAATTAAGAGGTTTGTATCGGAGGGTTCAGAACGTTCAAGGCGAAAAAATATCGAAGATTTTCAGCAGTGCGTGTGTGTTTGGGATCTTTAGCGTGAGACGGGTAAACGGAGATGAAGACACAAATCATTCTAGAAACGGTGAAACTCGTCTATAATCTAGGAAGGATTCTGACTGTCAGTATGGAAGAAAATTGAGAAAATGAGAAAACACAGGAGAAGATTTTCCTTGTTTTAGGGCTGAGAAAATCAAATGGAAAGAAATTAAAATAAAAGTAAGGCTCCCAATTCCCAGCTTGGAATACTTCCTTGTTTGGAAACGAAGGAAAACTAGAATATTCACTCAACTTTAGCCTTAATCAATTGGTGGTTTTACAAAACCGGGATTTGAAGAACGGAATCCAATTTCTCGAACGGTGCATTACGAGAAGAATCCAGAAGGAAAACAATATCAGAGAGAGAGAGGGAGAGAGATGAGGAGGGAGTCAACTGAGTTAAATTGAAAGCGAAATCAATGCATTACCAGCAAATCTGTAGCACTACCTACGGAAATCGAAATTGATAAATCAGACTTCCATAATAGAGAAGGTAATTCATGAACTCGAAGCTTCAAATAGAAAATAAATCTTGAGAAAAATTACCAAATCGAAAGCTGATTTTCCTGATACTAGTATTAGATTAGATTGGATTAGATTAAGACGCACTACCTTCGTTAAAGAAACTCTGATCATTATAATTACCTTCGTTCATGGTTGGCTCCTTTCAATTCTTCAACCATGTAATTTAAGAATCTGTATCGAATAACTGAAAGGACGGCAATTCAAATTTCCAGAAGGAAGTCGCCCAAACATTTCAATAATCTCCCTGAAACACAGAAATCGAGAAAATAAAATGTAATTTCAGGGATTAAATCAGATAAAGTTTGCAGCTAATAGAGGAACATGTTTGTTGAGTACCAACCTTCAAGATACAAATCTCGTGAGCTCAACTGTTAAGCTTCCATGAAACAAACAGGTATTGCAGTCGGCTACAGAAATCCAATACTGCAGCCACTGCAAATTTCTTCAACAAGTTCCCATCTACCATCTCATAAGAAACGTTTAAGCGAAAATTTAAAAACAAAAAAGAAATATTCTAATTAGATCGTACTTGGAAACCTCACCACGTACAACCATTTATGTATAAGTGGATTATGTCATCGATCATGTCTGCCCTTGACAATCTCTCTCTGTACTCTTTCCCTCTGTATCTCTCCCTACCTCGCAGCTCTGTATCTCACTTGGGAAATCCCAAAATTTTGTCATTCAATTCCCTAGCAAACGAATCGTGTTCTGCAGCTCGTATTCTAATTCTTGTCTGAGCAAAAGAAAAATTAAAACAAAAATAAAAATATTAAAAATGAAGAGAAAAGTAGAAGTCCAAAAATAAATAAAACTAACAATAATAATTAGAACAAATTATCAAATTAATTTTTAAATTTTAATATTTATTATAATTTATTTTCTAATGATTCTTTCGTTAATAATTTTTTTTTTAATTTTCTAACTGAAAAAATTAAAATTATTAGTTTAAACCTGTCTTTTTTTTTTTTGTGTTTTATAAATTGATTTTTAGTTTCGTATACATTTCACACGAGTTGGAAGCTCTTCTCTTCTCATGCACACTCAGATATTGTCTTTATAAAATAATATTCTATATATCGTAATATACGCACGTACATACACCACGCCGAGTCTATTATGTCTGTCAAAGTTTTAAATGACAGAAGAGGTTTTGATTATATGCACTAACGT